CTGATTTTGCACAGCAGGCATGCAGACTGCAGCACATGAGGATAGTGATTTCAACAAGAATTACTGAATTTCTAAATCGGGCATCAAATTACCTTTGAAGAGCTAGTCTTTAATTACTGTTGTTACAGAGAGAAATGAAAAAACACCCAGGAAAACAAGATTATGTCCAGGAGTTTTACAGACACGTATTGGTGGCTGCCTCTGCTTTGGGAAACCCAGGATGTAAAATTGGTTGGAGAAAGAGGTGAAGTGGATCCCCACTTCTAGGGATCTAACCTGACCGTCAGGTCACAGGAGCTCATGTGGATGCTCCCCTTCTGCCTTAGCCCCTCCACACTTTTAGCAATGTCTTTTTTGTGTGTGTATGTTTTACTGTGAAGCTGGCAGAGGGTTTAGGTTAGTGCTAGACTAATAGGGCAAGATGAATGTGTGCTGAAAATGACTGTGTGCTGTTCTGATCTTTTGATTTCAGTACAAACACAGACTGGCAGGAAAAAAATTTGCCATCCCAATAATGCTTTTCACAGGTTGATTTACTGCCAGCCCTTTACAACAGTGTGCACCTGATGGGAGCCAGAAGAACTTCAGGTTGGGTGGCACAGACTAATTACAAGTGGCAGAAATCTGCTCTTTTGCATGTTGTTTTCTATTAGCTTTCTGCGACAGGAAGGAAAAACTCAATTACAGCAGCAAGAATAGCCCTAAAAATGAATTTGAAGGTACTATTATAAACCTGCCAAGGGACACTAAAAGTAAAAAACAGCAAATTTGAGAATATGGATCAATGACTTTCCTATTCTAGTAGATACAGGACAGCAGTCGTCATCATGTCTCAGGATAATTATACTGTCATGCTACTCTGTTGCCAAAGGGCAGAGCTCACTTCTTGCTGCATTTAAAAGCTGTTTTGTACTTACCCATTGAAACGCTGGAGCTGCCATGTTAGAGCCGTGATTCTATCAAGTCCATTTTCAAGGTAATAACATGCCCCAGATTGCCTTCCTAAGGGAAAATGCACCAGACACTACTGGGCAGAGTGCTTGCAAAGGACGCGCTTCCTGATGCCCTGTAATTAGGGGGGTCCTGAGACAGGAATATTTCTACTCCCCCAAAATTGGGTTTTAATCCTTGCTATTGTGACTCTGAAAGATATAATTATCTTCACAAATGCAAGCATTTTTTATTCCTACTTGTCTAACCATCAGACAACCTGTATTTATCTAGTATACGTATTCCTTCCAATCTCAGAGTGTCATCTTACTCCTTCAATAAAAGATTTGCATTTTATACATTCAGTGGAAAAATACGCAAGTTTTCTCATGTGAAGGTTACATTTTTAAGCATAACGAGCACAGACTTGGAGTCCAAATTATGGACACTAGGCGATTTGATGAAAGTCCAAACTATGTTTCCAGGGGCAGTTATTGAAAAGAGGGAAGCAGAACAATTGCTTTATAAAGGTTTTGTTTCCCTTAATGATTTGTGCCACGTAAAGAATAGTTTTCACACTAGGTCATTCAAGAGAGACTTTAGTGGAATGCGATCATTCAGTTTATGCAGCAAAACCAGGCTACCAGGATTTAATTCTGCTGCTTGCTCAATTTTTATATTGTCCCCCCATCAGTTGTTAAAGCACAGCTCCTGCTAAGCTGAAAGTATGAAGAGACTCGCCTCATTTCTGAAAGGCTAGAAAATGTTTTATTCATGTATTTATAGCATATATATTGCAGGGTGTATTGCTAGATTCAAAAGAGACTTGAATGGCTGTTCCTGGATGGGGAGATTTTGTTAGCCTAGGATTTTAGTTGAACTGTTTAAAATTGATCGTGTTTTTTTGTTTTTTGGGTTTTTTTTTTCCCTTCAGCTCCAGGTCATTCATTAAGGGCATTTTGATGAAGACAAAACCAGAGCAATTATGCATTCATGAGCAGGAAGCTGAGGGCTTTACTTGGAAAACCAAAGGCTGATAGCTAAAGTAAGGATCATTTATCTTTCCCAAGGCTAGGTCATAATGGCGAAAACAAGGCACCTTAAAGCACATACTGCGGGAAGCCTAGTGCCGCTCTTTAAAATGCTGCAGACAAAATGATGGATTCAAAATAACCAGGCTCTTCATCTCTTGGGGAATAGGAGACCTGTGCAATGCATAAAATGTAGCGTGGGCTATATAACGTAGAGCTTTGTGCTGCTAACAGGCAGAGCTGACAGATTCTATTTCAAAGTTATCTTTAATGCAAAAACAAGGAGCGCTTCCAACTGTATCTATTACAATCAAGTTGCTGAATGATAACATCTGCTACCAAAATCATTTCATGTTTGGGTAATCGAATCCCTGCGAAGCCTGAGCGCAGACAAAACGCAAGCCGCCCCGAACGCCTCTAATGCATTCGTGTTTCTATACGTGCCCTTGCTTTTGGGTACAAGGTGTCATTGTGAGCGCTGCGGCGGAGCCTGCTGTAACCCGAGCACAGGGAAAGGCTGACTTGGAAAAAATGCATGAGAAAGAGCCCGGCCCTGCGAGGACTCGTTCCCAGGAGCCCTTCCCAGGCCAGCAGGCTACAGGAGAGCTACTCTCGGGGGAAATTACTCCCTGCAAAATGCTGCAACCAGTAAATCAGGCAGCTCGCTGCTACCTTGGGCCAGTTGGAGAGTATTTGCATTGCATGGGCATACTCTAAGTGCTGGAGGGATTAGGCTAGAAGCTGGGAACAGGTTTGTCTAAATAGCGCGAGTTTCACATTGGAAAAGTCTTTTAAGACCACAGCAATGTCCTGTGTCCGCATGGCCAAGGCAGGGTATCCCTAGTGCCGTACGGCAGCGCCACGCACACGTGGAGGCGGCCGCTTGGGAAGCATTCGCCTTGTTGAGGATGACAAACCACTAGCAAAGGCCTCGCAGTCCTGGGTTGGGCCTGGAATACAGCACCCGGAATATTGCACCTGGCAGAGGTTTCCGTGGAACGGTCCTTTGGAGTCCCTGCAGATTTCCAGAGCAGCTAAAAACTGCCATTAAAAAAAATAAAAGGGGCTGTTCAGAGTACGATGTTGTGAAGGAAGGAACAGGACGCAGGTTGTAAGTGCTCCTTTTAGGGCGTTTCGTTTGAATAATAAGACTATTCTTTATTGAGGACGTACGTGGTGAGCGTATGCGCGCAAGGCGGGCAGCCCACGCAGCAGACAGAGCAGGGCTGTTCCCGAGTCACAGCAGGATACGGCATCCAGGCCCGCTCCAGCCAGGCACGACACGGAGAGGCAAGAGCTGCTTCCCTGTCCTTGTTCTCAACAATAAAATAGTCGTGGAACAGGTAGGCCTCCTTCTCCCTCCTGCCTTCTCCTTTCATTAAACAAACCCCCTTGTGCTCTTCCTCCCAGCACTGGAATAGATGGAATACGATGGAATAAAAGTTATCGGATCATTTTTATAAATCAAGTGTTTGCTCCCAGAGAAAATACAGTGTTTAACTGTGCTTAGATGCTATTAAAAAAGCAACCCAGTACTTTTTTCTCTGAAGAAAATCATGCCCCCCATCCCAAATCAGTTAAGCATATAGCAAATACTTAGCCTCAAGGAATCTTCCCCAAATTTATTTATTTTTCCAGTACAACATAAAGCTAAGGGCCAGGGTTGCTGCCTTGTTGCTGAATGCTTCTCTTTTGAGATTGATTTATTAAGACACAGGGCTGTGTTGCAAGCCACCATCACACAGAGAAGCTGGCAAGGGGCACTGTGCACAGGGTTGGTCCCAGCAGAGCCCAAGATCCAAGCAAAGGGTGAGATCAGGGAAGCCTGTGCCCCTGCCTGGGTTTTCCCAACTCCTGGAAAAGCCAAGGAACACCCTCCAAGGCCTTATAGCTCCTTGTAAGGGATGTAACTCATTGCCACAGTAAGAAACAAGTGAAAACTCTGCTTGAGCATGGGTTGTCTTAAGTAAATGAATAATTCTAAGAAAGGGAAGAGGCTGCAATAAATATGGAAGACTTACTACAGTTCCGAAAGATGCTAATGAAATCTCACTCCTTAACCCCAACTAGCAATGTCACCAGACCTTACAGGGAGAAATAAAACTAGTTACACTTCAACTTTTCTAGACCTTGAGGTTTTTAATCACATATACCGTCTTGCTTAACAGTTCATTCACTTTATGCAGGCAAGTTACAAGTTTCTGTAGAGGTTTTGGGAAGTGCGTCCAGAACACATTGCCTGTCCACTGTTTTATTTACAGATTTTGTCCAAAGAAAAATCAGTAGCTAATAAAATCAAAGCATAATTACACAAACACAAAAATACAATCATTAACATCATACTGGATACAAAAGATAAGCATAAGGAAATGTCCATACATACTGACACGGATTTGTGTTAGTTTGCTATTAATATAGGATATTCTGGGGTGGTGGTAATGTCACTGAAAGGCAGATTTGGATTAAAATAAAAAAATTAATCACGTCTGACATTTTATACTGAGATATATATCTACATAGAGAATGATATGATCATATAGACTCACATTTGATCATATCAACATTTATTATTTCTGACAAGGTATTATAATCAAGTAGTTGAACCTTCCTCAAAGCTCTTGCTTAGATCAAGTACCAGATGCTAAACTCTAACTAAACCTTTGGATGATACAGAAACAATCTGTGCAAGTGTAGCAATTTTGATTCAGAAAGTTGTTTTAAAAGTAGTATTTACAAAGATAATTTTTAAATTCAGTGATTAAATTAAGACTGTAGTCTTTACATTCCAAAGACCTGATCATTTCTTTTATTTTGGCATTTTTCTCTCCTCTCCCCATTTCCCCTCCCTACCACAAGCATTAGCCAGTGTTTAAATTAAGCCATCACAATTAACACTCTTCAAAACAAACAGTAAGTTATTTGCTTTGTGAGGAAAAAAAAGAAGGCAACGCTAGAACATTACTCAAGAGATTCCATAAATCCTTAAATGACTTACACAGCTTCTGGAATTTGGGAGGAGAAATAGTGGGGAGAGGAGATGTTTACCCCTTGACTTTATTTTATCTGAGCTTCACTTACAAAAAGCTCCTGGTACTTTCCCCAACATTTCTGCACCTCCTTCCTCTGGCACGTATGGTTCAGTATATAAACTATTTAAGGAAAATGTCAAATCTAAACCCCCACAGTAAATAAACTCTTATGCTCTTATGAAAACCACTGATTTCTTACCACTTAAGACTTACTTGACTAGGCATTTTTTTAGGATTTAGAAGTTAAATGAGAGGAGTCTTACAAAACTTTGCTGTTTTATCTTTGTAACAGTGTCACACAAATGAAATCTAAAAGAAATCTTTTTCAGTGTTACTTAAGTTTTTTGCATACATTCTACTACCAGTAAGTCATAACCATATAGGCTGTGTGATAAACAGAACTGTATAAGCTTTTCTGCATTTTCTAGTGCTTCTATGAGCATGGTGACTTTAATGAGTTTAGATGGAAAATATAATCTCTTCAAGTCCTCACTCTAAACAATAGGCAAACCCTCTAGTTTTTCCCCTTTTTTGGATGGAGTTTTATCATCCATTGCTACTGGATTTCTTCTGGATAGCTTTAGACCAGGGGTTGTCAAGACTGTCTCTCTTTGCTTCCATCTTGTATTTCAAATTCCAGGTGGTCTGCTGGAAGAGCTCACCATTTACCTCCATGCTGCAGTTGGCCAAAGGCTTTTCTTGCTGGTCAGTTTTGGAAAGTCAAAATACGGAGTGCTTGCCTAGGTCGGACTGGTGCTAATCAGAGGATGGAGCGGAACCAAGGCGGTTCAATGCGGAGTTTGGGCTGACTTGTTTTCATGCTGGGCTCAAGATGGAGCCATCTCGGATGGTTCGGGAATCTGGGTGGGGAGTGGTAGCTGTTTCCCTGCCAGAGTCTCTTAACAGCAAAGATATAGGAGAGAAATTGAGAGAACGAAAAGGAGACTCGTGGCTGAATGCAGGGAATTTCCATGTCCCTCAAGGGTGGTATTGTTCAGTGAATTTATGACAGCTGACAGAGAAGTAGAACTTGCTGAAGAATTGTTTGAAGGTGTTGGACTTGTTCCATTGGGATCACAGTAAATCTGGAATGTGCAAAAAAAATGCAGAAGAGTAAATTATTGATCAGAACCAGTAACCTGGTAGTAACGAACAATGTGCAGCAGCCCTCACCATGCTGCTCAGGCACACCACAGAAGCAATTGCTCGTACCTCTCACCGTGCAGTTAAAGACACTTCAAACTCCACAGATGGAACTTAATAGATCTAAAATTTCTAAGCTACCACTAGTGTTACACCACCATATCAAAGCTCTGCATTAAAAATAAAAAATTAAAATAGAGAAATAGGTTCCAGTCAAAAACTCACACAAAGAAGTAAAATATAAAGGATCAAAAGACAACATTTTTAGAATAAAAATTAAGGCAGCTGAATGAATTCATTCTCTTTGCAGATTAATTTAAACAAAAATGAGGAAGTGAAAGGGAAGAGTCTGTGGATGGGCCGTCTCCTGGGCTGGGTTCGGAATTCAAATAAAGCAATGGTGGGGTTAATGTAAGTAGACTTGCTACTTCAGCCTCTCTAGTCTCTTATCTTGCTATCATGGAAGGCAAGGGTAGAACTTAAGAAAACAAAGCAACTACGTTGATTAAATCATATTGTATTAGTTTTGCCATGCTGACATTTAAAAAAAAAAAAAAAAGTACAATATTAGCAAATAAAAGATTGATGCTATCAGAAAGCAAAAAATCAAGAGTACATTTCCTCCTACAATCCTGGCTAGAAAAGCGAGCAGAACAATTGGATCCCTGCACAACCTGTGCATCAAGTTACTTCCTACACACACCCAGGAAAAGCTTCAGAGCTAAGTAAGAGGTTTTTTCTTCCAGTAAAAGAGCAGGTGCTGAGAGGAGGGGGGAAGAGTAGAGAATCCTATACCTGCTCCTCACAAGTCAGCAGTTTAGCAAGCCTGACTTCAGCTGCACAGCACAAGCTTGTGTTATACAAGCTCCATTAAGTTAAACTGGCTCTACCAGAGAATATTTAAGTTAAAATTACATTTTTTAAAAAAATAAAGAGCCACTAACTTAATAAACAATCCTCTCCACTAAAGTATTCTTATTGCCTGATTTTTCTTGTGTTACCACAAATACGCAAAAAAAAAAAATACAGTCCCTCAATACTGAAGCATAAAGTCAATATTAAATTTATTCTAATACTGCATGAGCATTTTCTGCTGCAAAAAAATGTACATCATAGGAAAAACACCAGAATGGAAGCTTTTGGTAGCCAGCATTTTTGGCAACTGGGAATATATTGGAAATAGTCAAGGATTGCAGGATTCAAAAAAGTAATAAAATAAAATCACTGTGTAGCAGTTTGTCACAACCAGCAAGAAAGGAGCCAACACTGGACTGCAGAGTTAATATCCTGCAAGGCAGCTACAAGAAGAGGTCGCAAGCCGCACTGTTTTCTGAGCCAGTCTCTATATCATTTCTCCTGCAGTATTTCACACTTGGTTACTTTTAAAGTTTTCTTATTTCTGCACACCGACCCCAGGGGTTTCGAACACAAACCCTGGGCTTTTGCGGGGTGCGTTCCTCTCTCCCGTTCCTTTCCTTTGGAAGGGGCAGGAGCTGGGAGCCAAGCCCCACGGCGCGGGTCCCCGCGCACAGCGCAGACCCCGCTGCGGCGCTCGCCGCGGGCCCTGGCGAGACTCCGCGGGGCGCAGCGGAGGCGGCACAAAGGGAAAACCCATTCCCGAAAACCGAGGGGCACAAAGGCGGCCTCGGAATGGC